AAAAAGGAATTAAACCGGTTCGCGAAGCTAGAGTCAAGATATATCAGGTTGGCAACTAAATAATGGCCCTTTTCAGTAAAAACAAAAAATTTATTAACAAGATGAACAAATATCAACATCAATCCAAAAAATATTCTCCGTCATTCTTTATTACTTCTTTCCACTTTTGACGGAGCAACTGGATTCCTCTCTTGAAAAATTCTTCTGGTTGATCGTCAAAGAACTTCTGCACTGAAATTCGGACTTCGTCAAGGTCATTGAACTTTTTCTCGGCTAGAAAGTGTTGAATCGATCGAAAAAGATGGTAATCACTAGGCCCCATATCCGGGCTGTATGGCGCATGAGGAAGAACATTCCAGCCCAACTCCTCGATTTTCTCCATTGTAAGTTTTGCAGTGTGTGTTTTTGCGTTATCATGGAGAAAATGAATTGAAGAGGGTTCGAGTCCTTGAGAGCGAATTGTTTGATCTACACGATGTAGTTGAGACGAATAGAGTTCTGAATTAACCGTTTGCCGGCTTTTGAGAACCTCGAAATGCACCAACCCACGAGAACTCCACCACACACAGAGGAGAGTTTTCTTTGAGTGAATATCCGGCTTCGGAGTTGGTTTTGGGTCTTCGTTTGTGCTAAGCCACTGTCGTTTTCGCGTTCGATTATCATAAAAGATCCATTTTTCATCAGAAGTGACAATGGAATCCAAGAAGCTTCCCTTTTTCGCAAGTTTTAGTAGTATTCCAGTGGTGATAACACGAGTAGCCTTATTTTCTTCGCTCAATTCATGCGGAATCCACTTTCCACTGCGGTTACTTTTCCCCAATGCATGAAGTCGCTTTTCGATTGCAGTATGCGAAAGGCCCAATCGATCCCCTAGCTCACGTGATGTTTGACTTGGATCCTCTTTTAAAGCTGCTTCCAAAATATCGTTCTGCAGCAGTTCGGGTCGTCCTTGGCGAGGCTCATCTTCAAGACTTTCATCCCCTTCCTTGAACCGTCGATACCATCTCTTACATTGTGTTTCGGAAAGAGCTTCATCACCAAAGACTCGCAATAAATCTCTGTGGGATTCGGCAGCTGTTTTGTCTTGTTTGTAGTCGTACCAGAGACAGACACACATTCGATATTTGAGATCTTCCATTTCTAAACAAAATTATTTGAAAAGTATCAAATCAAGGAAAGTAAAAAACGTATAATAATGCACCAGAAATTCAGTAATATTCAATTAACAACAAGCGAGGGTAGATTAAACGCAAAGATTAAAAGATTTTATCAAAAAAGGGCGAGTGCCATTATTTAGTTGCCAACCTAATAGACCAAAAACTGGGACCACCCTGCGACCAAAAACAGTTTTGCCTAAAAAGTGCAACCAATAGCCCGTATGTTCGTTCATTTGAATAATGCCTACGGTAGCTTAAAGCTAGGTTAGGTCGCATACACAGAAGTCGGATAAAACTGAATGGTATGTCATTCTTTAGTGGAAATCAGGAAGCCTTATCCCTGTTGTTTGCCGATTATGGTGAATCTTTAGAGGGAAATACCAAGAACTTGATCGAGGCTTTTAAAAGCTTTTAAAAGGCTTTTAAAACCAATTACAAGTTGATTCGATAACAGAATCAACGAATTCAAAAGTCTTACAAACAGTGCATTATATTGCGAAATTTGAAAAATTAAGAAAAGTGCTCGCATTTAGCTTCATTTCCCGATTGATCAGCGGTTCTTTGTGTATTTGGTGGACATAGAAATCATTGAATTACAAGAAAAGAGACATAGACAACCAAAGATATAAACAACAAAAAAAGTCTTATAGTTGAATATTTTTCACAGAAAATAGATAAAAGATAAAAATTATGTTTGAATAATTTTGTGTGCCAAGAGTTTTTTTTAGGCGCATCTTCCAAGCCTTTAATAAAAGTCTCAAAGGCATCCTACAATTTGTATAAAGAAATTCTTCGTAGAAAATTACCTCAATTTTCATGTCAAATAGGAATTAAACCGATTCGCGAAGCTAGAGTCAAGATATAGACCAAAAACTGTGAGGCGATGATTTGCGGCCACTCTGTAAATCAAGTTAAGTCTTGTTGCTGTTGGATGTAGTTTTTAAAGCAGTTGTTCGTTTCTAACTGATTTATTTGAAAAGTAGACAGAATAGGAGTCTTTTTATACTATATTAGTGATGATGATCTTTCTAGTCCTTTAACAGTTTATCAATAGAAATTGGAAAATGTAAATGTTGTAAAGTGTTTAAAGTAAGTGACAAAATACACCCAAGAACAACTTCAAAAGTCTTGTTGCTGTTGGATGTAATTTTTAAAGCAGTTGTTCGTTTCTAACTGATTTACTTGAAAAGTAGACGACATAGACGACATAGACGAGTAGACGACTCTTTTTATACTAGCCGGTTCGCGAAACTAGAGTCAAGATATAGACCAAAAACTGTGAGGTGATACTGCGACCACCCAGTAAGTTGCTTGCTAATTCTAGTGAAACCTTAGAGGGAAATACCAAGATTTTGATCGAGATGTAGAGTGTTAGCCATCTAAAAACAACACACAAGCTCTATATAATGTTGTCTTGTTAACACATAAAGAAATTCTTCGTAGAATCTCAATCTCAACATTATCTCAATTTTTATATTAAAAAGGAATTAAACCGGTGTTGTTATTTTAAAGCTAGAAATATCGAATTTCATTTTCTCATTGAATCCCAGAGAAAGAAAGAGAGAAATTTACTGTGTGGTAATCGATTTTATAAACAACTTACACAAAAATGATTGAGTGCAACCAATAGCCCGTCTGTGCGTTCATTATTGCGCAAACGTTCGAATTCAAAGAGTTTCTCGGTTCGCCTAGAATTGGAACAAAAATCTGATACTTTAAAAAACTATAAACTATCATTTATTTCACCACCCATAAAAAAGAATGTTTGTTAAACAGGGTTCATAGCGTATAAGACCTTCCCCCAAGATGACAACAAGCTTTTCCAACAATTTATAATAAGTCTTCATGTAGAAGTTTCTTCTGAAAATGAATTGTGAGAAATATCGAATTTCATTTTCTCATTGAATCCCAGAGAAAGAAAGAACGCACAAAATTTAATCGATTTTATAAACAACTATTTATTTCGCCACCCATAAAAAAGAATATCCGTTAAACGGGCTTCATAGCGCATAAAACCTCCCACAAGATGACAACAACAACTTTTACCTGTGTCGTCTCAAAACCTGTTATAAATAAATACGAAGATCTGTATAAGAAAGCAATAAAAAAAAGGTTTCAATCAGTTAACTATGAAGCTTTCAATCCTCATCCATATTCCTGCTTTGAATAGTTTCTCCGAGTTTTAGAGTCAGAAGCCAGCCAAAAGAGGACGAGGAAGTAAAAAAGAATGTTCGTTAAACAGGGTTCATAGCGCAAAGAACCTCCCCCCGCCCCAAGATGACAAAAGGTTTTGAGACGGCACAGGTAAAAGGCACAGGTAAAAGTTGTTGTCATCTTGGGGGGAGGTCTTATGCGCTATGAACTCTGTTCAACGGACATTCTCATCGCGGAAAATTTAACGGACATTCTCTGAAGATTTAGTTACGGGTACGCACAAACCCCTGCCTGATATATATCACGTCACCAAGAACATCAAGCTGTACGCAACACACGGTATGTCTTTTCTAATTCTATTAAATAGCGCATAACACCTCTCCCCAAGATGACAACATGTTCTTCCAGCGGCTCAGGTGACAACCTTGTTGTCATCTTGGGGAAATCTTATGCGCTATGAACCCTGTTTAACCGACATTCTCATCTCGGAAATCCGTTGAACGTGTCCGTTGAAGAATGTCCGTTGAACAGGGTTGATAGCGCATAAGACCTCCCCCCAAGATGACAGCAACTTTTACCTGCGTCGTCTCACAAAACCTTGTCATCTTGGGCGGAGGTCTTATGCGCTATGAACCCTAATTAACCCATTCGAAACCGCAGCGTTTTTTCTTTTTTTTCGTCTACGGACCAAGCCCTTTTTTGACATTTTTGACTCCGAAGCAGTTTATTTATGGTTGGAAAGATGTAAGAGAGTCTCCTACACCATTTATTTTTGATGAAGAACGATTTGGATTTGACTTCAGTACTTTTCAAGATCCTATCGATTATTGTTCTTATTTTATCGACGATAATATTTTAGTAGGCGAATCTAATAAACATGGAAAAAGGAAAACAAACTGGCAGGATTTCGATGCAAAATCTTTCAAGCTCTTCCTGGCTTCAAATGGGAATCGTCAAATTACCGAGGATTCGTGACTACTGGAGTAGCAGGCCTGGATTAGGAGGATTTTCCCACATATCCCACATTACGTCAAGAGCAAAATTTGAATCTATTCTTCGCAACCTGCATTTTTGTGATAATGAACTGGATCCTGCAGGAGATCGGCTTTATAAGATTAGAGCTATTATGGTACATTTCAATGCCAAACCAGAGACTGCATTGATTCCGGGTAAATATGAAACATCTTTTTTGCCCACGTAATTTGTAGATCTGCTACAATTGGAATATACATGTAATGCTGAAAAACAGCAAAAAAAAAAGCAATTAATTGAATGCAAATAGCTCAATTAGCGCTGCAGCGAATAATCGCTGCAGCGGTCCGTTCCTGAGTTTTTGTTGCAGCGATTATTCGCTGCAGAAGTTTCGAATGGGTTAAAGGACATTCTTTTTTACTTGCTCGTCCTCTTCTGGCTGGCTTTTGACTCGGAGAAGCTATTCAAAGCCGAAGCAGAATAGCTTCTCCGAGTGGATGAGGCTCTGTGCGGAATATGGATGAGACTCTGTGCAAAACGGTGAACTGTTAAATGTTATTAGAGATAAACGTTTTTATTAGCATTTTCACCTTCTAAAAGTATTTTAAAAAGAGCAAGTATACCCTAGTATTAAAAAGAGCAAATATAAGTCAAGCTAGAATATTTAGAGTAGAAAGAAATAAATCGAAAAATGAGAAATCTGAATAAATCAAATCAAAGTCTCTGAAAGATTTCTTCAGGCAGCGATCCAACAATTCCGCTCTCTTTCATGAAGACCATTTTACAAAAGCGACGATCCATCTTTTGAGCTAACCACTAAAAAATCATTTAGATAAAAGGGGTTACTGTATTTCTATTGGCTGACTGGAAATTTCTCTAGCTTATGCTTTAGGCAATGCCTAAATTTAAGATCAAAGCCTTTACCTGCATGTAAGTTGGGATCTCCATCAATTTCCCAAATTTCTCAATGGCCAGGGTTTCCCTTCGGAAACGAAGTTTTAAATACTAAAAGATTCCAATTCAAAGCCAAATTTAAACGCAAATTACCTCTAACAAAATATTCGAATATTTTAAGAAGGCTTTTCTTGCAATCTCTGAGCCGTTCTCTGTCAAACCAATGCCTAAATTTTTGGCTTTTAGCGATTCGGACTAGCTTTTGTCTAACCCTAACTTTTGACCATTTGAAAGCTTGTCTTTCTGGCCATTTGAAAGCTCTTCTTTCTGGCCATTTGAAAGCTTGTCTCTGGCCATTTGAAAGCTTGTCTTTCTGGCCATTTGAAAGCTCTTCTTTCTGGCCATTTGAAAGCTCTTCTTTCTGGCCATTTGAAAGCTTGTCTCTGGCCATTTGAAAGCTTGTCTCTGGCCATTTGAAAGCTTGTCTCTGGCCATTTGAAAGCTTGTCTTTCTGGCCATTTGAAAGCTTGTCTTTCTGGCCATTTGAAAGCTCTTCTTTCTGGCCATTTGAAAGCTTGTCTCTGGCCATTTGAAAGCTTGTCTTTCTGGCCATTTGAAAGCTGTAATTTTACTGCACTTACTTACTTAAAATTAGATCTATTTTATTCTACCTGATGAGAAAAAGATGATATTCCTTATCAAAACAAATTCCTCGTCGCCCATCTCGACTTTTCGCATTGTCGGAATCACGACGCTCATCCCGAAATGCATGTGATAGAGAAAAGAGTCGGTGATTCTGAAAAAAAGAACAGATCACTGAACTGATCTGGTGCACTTTTGCTTGTACCAGATCAGATCAATTTTGATAAACCTTAGCATCAATCTTCTACACTCTACCGATTGTATTGGATCGATGGATTGACCTGCGCATACCGAAAACCGAAAAAGTCGATCCACTTAAATGGTCTATAATTCGAGGTATGAAAGCTGAATCAACTCATGGTTGGTTTTATTAGAATCTTCATTAAATTTGACTAAAGAAAAGTAGAATTTATTTTGTAGACTTACTAATAAAAACATAGAGAAAACTAGGGTCAAAGTCGAGATAAGTGTCTAGGGGGGAGGGGGTAGAGAGTCGGAGTTTGACGACTCTTCTCCTTTCCTCCATATCTCAACTTCCATTTGACCGATCAACTTGAGGTTGGTCTTAAGATGTTCCTTATGAAATTTCGTTATAGAGAACCCCAACTTTCTTAGTAAACTTTAATATAAAAACATAGAGAAAATCTCAGTCAAAGTTGGACTATCTATTTGGAAGAGTCGATCAACTTAAATGGTCTATAACTCAAGATCTAAAAGTCGAATCAACTCATGGTTAGTTTTATTAGAATCTCCATTAAATTTGACTAAAGAAAAGTAGAATTTGTTTTGTAGACTTACTAATAAAAACATAGAGAAAATTTGAGTCAAAGTTGACCTTCTGAAGTATAGCTTATACCAGTTTACCCTATACTAGTATACCCTATCTCGTAGTGGACTTAGTTTTCGGACAAATCCAACGCCGGAGACAAGACATCAATTCCGAGAGAATCCAGAGACAAGACGCTCATCACAGATTGCATTATTCTCTCAATTTAGCTGGCGTAACAAAATGCTTTAACACTATGTAGAGATACAGCAACGGCAGCAGAAATACAGCAACTTAAAGGCAAAAAATGATCCCAAAAATTTGGGCACACTAACTCTGTACTTCCAGAAACTTTAAAACGAGAATACCGACTTGCTAAGATTTGATTTGTGTAAGCAAAATATTCAAAGAAAGCTTCTGAACTCACGCCTCCAAATTGGCTTCTTCGATCTCATTGGCTTTGAGTCTAGTGTAAAGTCAACGAAATGGTTCAACGAAATGTTGAACCAATTGGGCGGCTTATTCATATGAAAGTCGAAGTTTTAGTCATTGACTGTTCCAGATCGATAAGCGAGATCCTGGGTCAAGCATGTAACAAGCCGACAGGTCGTGTCTGCTACGAGGTCGTGCAGGGAATCGACGAATGGTTTCTCGCGGTGCTTACAGAAGACAGCCAATTCATTGTTGTTTGATTGATGTCAAAAAGACAGCCATTGTTGTTTGATTGATGTCAAAAATTGTATCTACCTAATTAGAGTTCTATACTTTCAAACGGCAGCAAAAATACAGCAACTTTAAAGCAAAAAATGATCTCAAAAATTTGCGAATACTAACTCTGTACTTCGAGAAACTTTAAAACTAGAAGACCTACTTCTTGAGTTTTGATTTGTGTAAACAAAATATTCAAAGAAAGCTTCTGAACTCACGCCTCCAAATTGGCCTCCTCGATCTCATTGGCTTTGAGTCTAGTGTAAAGTGGTGAGAGAATCCCATCATTGAATTGATATTTATGCGTGTAATAGTAATCATTCAGCAAATTGAGTCGAAGAACTTGCCGGCAAAAGAGATTTATCTGAAAAGAAAAGAAATGAAAATGAAAACCTTTACAGGTTACCCGATCTTCTTCATTCAAATCCCAGAACTCTGGTGTTGCGCGGAACCAGTCGGCAAAGAGGACAAGCGACCGGGCAAACATTCGTCCACCTAGTGTGGACATGTATTTCCGTGGCATCTCGTAGTTCGTGTACAACTGATAGCCAACCTAAAGATTCAGATGTAGACAGTGTTCCTTATAACTTGTACCGTATCCATATCGTCCTCAAGGCGACTCATACTCCAGTATCCCCACCGTTTAAGCCCCTACTCTTGCCATAAACTAGTAATCCGACCGACCACCGTATCCCTACCGTACTAGCACGGTACTAGCACGGTACTGTACTCCTGTACGGTACTGTACTAGCACGGTACTAGCACGGTACTGTACTTTGTCCGCTTTTCCTAAGCTACCGTACTCCAGCTATACCCGAGTGTGGATAATGAACTAGATACTCGTAAATACTGTAATAGTATCCCAGTCCCATAATGACGGTGCGAAGTGTTGCGTAGTCTAGCTTTGAACGAGTTTTCCTCGACACTGGTTTATGCTACAATGTGCGTTTAGGTATCAAAAGAAAGCTGAGATTCAGGGCTATTTTTTGATACTAAAGATGCATTTTTTTGAAAGTACGGGTGCTTTGCAAAAAGTGAAAAAAGGTGTGGAGTGTTGCGTAGTCTAGCTTTGAACGAGTTTTTATTGACACTGGTTTATGCTACAATGCGCATTTAGGTATCAAAAAATAGCTGAAATTCAGGGCTATTTTTTGATACCTAAACGTGCATTGTAGCATAAACCAGTGTCGAGAAAAACGCGTCCAAAGCTAGACTACGCAACGCTCTGCACCGTCATTATTGGGGTGGGGTAATATTACAGTCTTTACGGTAGCTTATAGCCTTAAACTAAAAACAAATTCTCACCGGTGCTCTCGGGCAAATGATCGTCGGATTCCACAAAATGTCCATCATTTTCATCTTTTCCATCGTGTATTCGAAATTGTGTGGAAGCAAGTCGATTACCGTGTCACTCATCAATAATCTAAAGTTTTGGAATCACAAGTAAATACACTTTAAAAGAAAACCTCTCAAAATTCGTCAACTCTCTCAAAACGTCTAATGATGGAGCCTTAGAGAAGAGGAGAGGACGGGAAAAGTATTTGGCGATTAGTTGGGCTTCTCTCTGAACAGGAAAGAGTATTCACATCACATTAGATATTTTATTGCATACAAGATACAGTTACCGTATCTATTTTCAACAATTAACTTGGATTAACGCTAGTTTGCAATGTTTTTGCAATGACTTTGTCGCAAATCTACAATATTTAGCATTCAGTTTAGATCTCGATTTCTCTTGAGTTTTACCGTATCCAGAGAAAAACTCGTTGACGGTTGATCGTCGATTTCTTGTGTTTCCAGTTTTGGTCGACCTCTTGGCTTTAATCCAATCATCGATCGTTTCTCTCGAAGGAGACAACCACGACGACGAGCCGTGTCTAGAAAAGTGTACTGTTTATATTGGGTTGTTCAGTTATTTTGTAAATTTCTCAAGATCCGAAATCAAGAAAAAGATATATATGAGTGTTATTCGAAAGCTGAAGATCTCCTCTACATTTTGATGTAAAAAGTTTTTGAATTTGTTCAGCTTTTGGGCAAATTGACTGCACAGAAGAAGAGGTGGCCAAAAAATGGAAGGGTGCCTTTGGATCAAGTTTTGGCTCCGCTCAAATTGAGTTAACCGTTTGCTATTTGGTTAATAGATATATCAATACAACTTTTTTTTAAATATAACAATTTCAGAGCATCTTTACTTTTCTTTTCTTGTTTGGGCGGTTATTTTACACTATAAAACTTGAGGAATAGATAAGCTGGAATGGGTTTTTTTTTTTCGAAAACGACCTCTCCCTTTGTGCCGTCAATTTCCCAAAAGGTTGAATGAATTCGAAAACTTTTTTATTCCAAAATGTAGAGGAGATCTTCAGCTTTCGAATGATATATCTGGATCTGGCTTTGGATCTGGATCTGACTCTGGATCTGGATCTGGCTCCGGTTCTGGATCCGAATCTCTTCGCAAGAATACAAAGAACAAAAAGATGACTACGCGACACTACTATAAGCTGTCTATTGAAGTGTCGCGTAGTCGTCTTTTCGTTCTTAATATGTTTGCGTAGAGATCTGGATCTGGATCCGGATCATATACATCTGTTCGATATCTTGAGAATTTATAAAAGACTATATTCGAGTCTAGGTCCTTGGACCGATTCTATCAGGCCAACTCTAGCTATAGAGCTTGACTTGTCTTGAATTTTGCTTTCAAAAGTGAGCAATGAATAGCATGACATCCAGAATCGACTTCTAATCTATCCAGAAGCCAGATAAAGTCCTTTTTGACTTAACTGGCTATAGGTTTAGCTTTTTGTAACAATCTTGGCAGGGATTTTGATGGTTCTAAGTCGATTTTGATGGTTCCAAGTCGATTTTAATCATTCTTATCATTATTTTACACCATAAAACTTGAGGAATAGCTAAGCTGCAATGGTAGAGGAGATCATCTTCAGCTTTCGAATGATATATAACACTCATCTACATCTGTTCGAGATCTCGAGAAATTTACAAAATAGTAAAAACGCGCATTCATAACTGGACAACCCAATAGATTAAACTTTAAAATATCAGAATAATTTACAAGTACAGTAATGTTCAACTCACTTTCCGGCAACATTCCCACTTGAATGCATTTCTCGAAGCGACACGCTACACAACGGCTTTTCCCTAAGTTTTGTTAAGTTAAAAAATAGAATTAGGATCTTAGATTTCACTCTCATTCAACAATTTATTACCTGGAACCAAGAATTTCGGGCCAACACATAGGCGAAAATTTTGACAATCGGGCACTGGAGCTCCAGCAGTGCACACACGAAGGAAAAAGATTTTACAGCTTCTAAAAAGTAGTTTAAAATTCATGATTTTGTCTACACCTTTCTTAAATATAAGGATGATAGCTCACTCATTCTCATTGCAAAGCTTAAATTGTTATAAATTGTAGGGTAAACTATTCGGTTGTCTTCATTTCAGATAATGTGACTCAAATTTCTGATCCATGTGCCTTCTAATCGATTCTAATCGACTCATTCTCATTGCAAGTTTAAATTTTTATAACTTGTAAGCGAAACTATTTGGTTAATTTCAGGTAAAGTGCCTCGAATTTCTGATCAACTTCTCATAAATTCTAATTGAGTCCCCATCTTTCAGGTGATGTACCTATCAACATTTCCAAATGTTCTCTAAAATGTGTTAGTTGGAATTTGTTATTTCAAATCTCTCTTTAAGCTTCTATTTTGAGTGTTTTCAAAGCCAGCAAATCCGGAAAAGCTTAAAATTGTAGTGATTTTTGAGATAAAGCTACTTTTCAAGCGCTCAAACATCAACAAAATCGGGAAAATTTCATTTTAAAACCAAATTTCTAAATTTAGGATAAGTTTTAGCTTTCTGATTTCCAAAGATTCCCAATTTTAATCGAATTTCATCAAGAAAAACCTCTTTCGCAAAAGGAAATGGGGAGATTTCTGTGGGGGTGAAGAGATTTTGATAGAAACGTACATGGATTTCTCGAGACTTTGTGCTTTCTTGAGCCCTTTCTTCAAAAGTTTTTCTTTCGATTTATCAAAGAAAATCCCGGAAAACCGGAAAACCCAAAAAAAGCTACAACTCTTTCGGTTAAATGGGAATCGCAAAATCGGCAACAAAAATTGGTCTAACGAATTTTAAACTGTAATAAACTTGAAAAATGAACAATATCCTGGAACTTTTCAATTATCGCCTGCATTTTTCCATCTCCTAATCGGGAAAGGGTTCTAAAGTTTTGAAAACAATTTTGCAAGGTCTTGGGATTAACGCGAACTTTAAACTTGGGTAATTAAACCGGGATCGGAGGTCTCTGGGACCTATGTGGAAGGATCGTGTGCTAGATGCCGTTTTTTCTTATCAGACACACAAAAGGTACGCATAGTGAGGGAAAACAGCTGGATCTGATCGATCTGGTTTTACCCGGGCTCAGGTAAAGCCAGATCGATCAGCTCCAGATCAGATCAGACCAGACCAGGGTCAGGGTCATGTCATTCATGTCGAAAAGCGTCATGCAGGGTCACCAGCCTTGGGTAATTAAGCCGAAAAGCGCCTTCTCTGTCGCCTATCTGAAAGGGTCGTGTGCTAGATGCCGTTTTTCCTTACGAGACACACAAAAGGTACGCACCGATTCGAAATGTTACGGTACAACCGGGTTATTTTCAAGCTCACAAAGCTTGTTAGAAATGTGTAAACTTTGAAATTTAATTAGTGAAGGCTCAAATAATGATGTAATTTTGCTAATCTTTTAATAGCTTTTATTAAAAGATTAGCACTCACGCGCATGCAATTGATCCATAAATTTTTGAAGCCGGCGATTTCCCGCAAACTCGGCATTTCTCTGGTGGCGTTTTCCCGTATTCGGCCGTCAAATCGACCAAGTCCATTGGACAGAAATTTCGATTTTTTCAATCTTCACTAGTGATTTTGATGGATTTTTCTGAAAAGCTTTAGTTAGTGAAAAGGATTTGGGTTTGAAATGGAATTTTAAATGGAATTTGAGAAATATTTAGTGAAGAAGATGAGTTAAAGATCAAATGAATAAAGTGTTAGACCTAGAGATTAGAGAGATGCAAATTTCCAAGCTTTGACAAGAACGTAGTTGGAGGTAAGTTTACGAATCAAAAAAACTGAGCCTATAGTTCGTAGTGAATTCTTGAACTTGTTTCAAGGAAAAAAACAAAGAAACAAACAACAAATGAAATAAACCAAAGCAAACAAATGAAATAAACCAAACCAAACCAAACCAAACCAAACCAAACCAAACCAAACAAACCAAACAAATCAAACCAAACAAATCAAACCAAAGAAACAAATGAAACAAACCCAACCAAATCAACCAAACCAAACAAACCAAACCAAACCAAACAACAAATGAAACAAACCAAAGCAAACAAATGAAATGAAATAAACCAAACCAAACCAAAATCCCAAACAAATGAAACAAACCCAACCAAACCAAACAAACTAAACCAAACCAAACCAAACCAAACCAAACCAAACCAAACAAAGAAACAAACAACAAGGAAACAAAGAAACAAAGAAACAAACAGACAAGTCAAACAAACAAACAACCAAACAAGCAACCAAACAAACCAAACAAACTAAACCAAGCGAAACCAAACAAGTCAAACCAAACAAACAAATGAAACAAACCAAACCAAAGCAAACAAAGCAAACAAATGAAATAAACCAAGCCAAACCAAACTAAACCAAAAAATGCAACAAACCCAACCAAGCCAAACAAACTAAACCAAACCAAACCAAACCAAACAAACAAACAAATCAAACCAAACCAAACAAAGAAACAAACAACAAGGAAACAAAGAAACAAACCAACAAACAAAGAAACAAACAAACAAGTCAAACAAACAAACCAACAAAGAAACAAAGAAACAAACAGACAAGTCAAACAAACAAACCAACAAACAACCAAACAAACAAACAACCAAATCAACAAACAAGTCAAACAAACAAACAAACAAACAAACAAACAAACAAACAAACAAACCAACAAACCAACAAACAACCAAACAACCAAATCAACAAACAAACAAACAAGTCAAACAAACAAACAAACCAACAAACAACCAAACCAATCCGTCAATTTTAAACAAATCATCGTTTTAATTTCTTATAAAGACTGATTAAAACTAAATTTTAAAAAGCTGATATTTTTCATAAAACTAAAATAAGCTTACAGTAAAATCTAATCTCGAAATCCAAAAGATTTAGACCAAAATGCTAGCAGAGAAGTAAAAAGTGAATAGCACAGATCAAAAATGGATTGAAAATTTTCTCAACCGGAAAAGAAGAGAGCTAATTCGGCAAATCTCTGTCTTTTCCCTTTTCTCCATACTTTTCCCCTTTTTTTCCTCTCATTTCTCTCTTTATTTCTTATCATTTCTCTATTAGGTCTGGGAAAAAGACGGCAAAAACGTTCAACTTCCCCTCGGCAACCCGGGGGATTTTTAAAGATTCTGAAAGATCTCTGAAAAGATTTGCGACAGAGATTTTGTTCTTTCGGATGTACTTTCAAGTTTGAAAACATACCCTTTCTGGTGCAATCAATTATGAAATCCAATAGCCAGACAGAGATGACCCCACTGTGCGTACCCTTTCTGTGTCTCGTAAGGAAAAACGGCATCTGGCACACGACCCCTTCAGATAGGCGACAGAGAAGGCGCTTTTCGGTTTAATTGCCCAAGGTTAGCGTGCACACCCTGCATGACGCTTTTCGACATTAATGACATGACCCTGACCCTGGTCTGATCTGATCTGGAGCTGATCGATCCGGCTTTACCGGAGCCCGGGTAAAAACATTTCGAATCGGTGCGTACCTTTTGTGTGTCTGATAAGGAAAAACGGCATCTAGCACACGATCCTTCCACATAGGTCCCAGAGACCTCCGATCCCGGTTTAATTACCCAAGTTTAAAGTTAGCGTTAACCTCAACTCCTTGCAAAATTGTTTTCAAAACTTTAGAACCCTTTCCCGATTAGGAGATGGAAAAATGTAGGCGATAATTGAAAAGTTCCAGGATATTGTTCATTTTTCAAGTTTATTACAGTTTAAAATTCGTTAGACCAATTTTTGTTGCCGATTTTGCGATTCCCATTTAACCGAAAGAGTTGTAGCTTTTTTTGGGTTTTCGGCAATTTTCTATCATAATCGAAAGAAAAACTTTTGAAGAAAGGGCTCAAGAAAGCACAAAGTCTCGAGAAATTCATGTACTTTTCCCTCAAAATCTCTTCACCCCCACAGAAACCTCCCCATTTCCTTTTGCGAAAGAGGTTTTCTTGATGAAATTCGATTAAAATTGGGAATCTTTGGAAATCAGAAAGCTAAAACTTATCCTAAATTTACAAATTTGGTTTTAAAATGAAATTTTCCCGATTTTGTTGATGTTTGAGCGCTTGAAAAGTAGCTTTATCTCAAAAATCACTACAATTTTAAGCTTTTCCGGATTTGCTGGCTTTGAAAACACTCAAAATAGAAGCTTAAAGAGAGATTTGAAATAACAAATTCCTACTAACACATTTTAGAGAACATTTGGAAATGTTGATAGGTACAGCACCTGAAAGATGGGGACTCAATTAGAATTTATGAGAAGTTGATCCGAAATTCGAGGCACTTTACCTGAAATTAACCAAATAGTTTCGCTTACAAGTTATAAAAATTTAAACTTGCAATGAGAATGAGTCGATTAGAAACGATTAGAAGGCACATGGATCAGAAATTTCAGTCACATTATCTGAAATGAAGACAACCGAATAGTTTACCTTACAATTTATAACAATTTAAGCTTTGCAATGAGAATGAGGAAGTGGTTATCAGCCTGGTAGTTAGAAAAGAGTCGATTTACATTTTGCACCTGGTTAAGTGAAGTAATTTTAGAATTATCCAAGATGTTATCGTACTTTAGTGATACAATGACGCCTTTATCCGAAAGTTATTCGCTCTGAAATGATTACTTTTCGAAAGGTTAACAGACTAGACAAATCAAAATCATTTTACAACTCTACTGTAGTTGAACCAAAAGTTTCTTTTGCTAGTTTTTTGTCTGTAAAATGGGCAGAAGTCGTCAATAATAATGGAAATTATTTGGAATGAATTTATGGTTTTATTTTGGATAAATTTTAGTTCAAAGTCCCGCAGTTTTCAATTCATCAACCAACCGAAAGTGGCCCTAAGCCCGATTTGCACTAGAAGAAGTTTATGCTCTGCGTTTTCTGGGATATGATGGGAGTGGTGTACTGGGAGTTGATGGATAGCAAGACGACCCTTAATGCAATCAAATACAGTGAACAGTTGGGAAAGGTGAATGAATCTCTGAAGAAGAATAGTCCCGCCAAGTCAAAGATCGTTCTCATCCACGACAACGCGCGCCCTCATGTTGCAAAATGGATTCGCTCTAAAATCAACAGCCTTGTTTGGGAACTTTTGGCGTATTCCCCATACAGCCCGGACGTCGCCCCTTTTGATTACTATTTATTCCGGATCATGAGTAAGCTTGCGGGAGAACATTTCGATTCGGAAGAAGCAGGCAAAAATTGGCTTTGAAAGTTTTTCGATTCAAAACCAAATACCTACTACGAAAAGGAATCCGCAAATTGCCTGTAAAATGGGCAGAAGTCGTCAATAATAATGGAAATTATTTCGAATGAATTTATGGTTTTATGTTGAATAAATTCACCAACCCAATAGTTGCTACTCAGCTAGCATAACCCTTTTTTAAGTTGCGACCGTTAATGCAATGAAATACAGTGAACAGTTGGGAGAGGTGAATGAATCCCTGAAGAAGAATAGGCCCTTCAAGTCAAAGATCGTTCTCATCCACGACAACGCGCGCCCTCATATTGCAAAACTGGCTCGCTCTAAAATAAATTGCCTTGTTTGGGAACTTTTGGCGCATTCCCCATACAGTCCGGAACAATAATTCTATTTTCATTGAATCTATAGAAGATTTAAGAAGAATTTTCAAAGAAATTAGGCACAAGATTTTTAAAGCAAAAAACCGTCGTCAATGATTTCAAGATTGCTCTCGCAATCGGAATTTCTTGGTTTCACGCGCCAGCACACTATCCATTAGGCCACCAGCTCGCATTTGAGGGAAGGCCAGTGCCAATGCCAACCTTTTAAACCTACCAAAATTGGGGCCAGTTTTTTTTTACGCCAAATATCTCGCGTTACAGAGCACCTCCGAAAATGGTAAAACCGGATTCGGAATCAGCGTAAAAAACTCTATCAAATAGGCTTTGTCTCATTTGAAAAACCCACCTTAACTTGACAATATTCCCTAGTTAGACCACTCGGCCATGGAATTCGAGGTAACACCCGGTTTTTCCCCATTTTACGAAAAATCACAAATTTCCTAATAAAGCTAATGCCGGACTCGAAGAGAGGTTTGAGAATTGCATGTCCTGAGAAATTTTCAACTCATTTGTTCCAGCCATTCACAAGAAACAGCCGTGACGCAGCATTGAGTCATGTTAAAACAGAATTTTCCTCTCCAAAGTTTAGCTTTGTCTACCTACAAAGCTTTTGACCTGCACCTATATCTGCAACTTCTGGCCCACCCTGTACAATTGGATACGCCGATTCCGAATCTGCGGTTTGCCAGATTCATTGCGATTGCCGGAGAAAGGGTAGCTAATCGGATTTGGATTCGGATTTGGATTCGGATTTGGAATCGGATTCGGATTTGGATTTGGATTTGGATTTGGATTCGGATTCAAATTCGGGTTCGGATTCGGAATCGGATTCGGATTTGGATTTGGATTCGGATTTGGAATCAAATTCGGTTTGAGAATCAAATTCGGTTTGAGAATCAAATTCGGTTTGAGAATCAAATTCGGTTTAGGATTCGGATTCGGATTCGGATTCGGAATCAGCGTATCCGTTTGTATAAGATTCACTGGCACCGAAAGTGACTCTGAACTTCGAGCCGACGTCATTCCCGTAAACGACCTCCACCCGCTCGAAATAAGTCTGTTTTTCTTTTGCGAATTCGTAAACAAAATCACTTTTTATTACGATTAGGACATTAAATTATTAAAAAAGAAATTTCTATCATATAATTATTTGCGCAAATAAGCGGAAGTGTCAATGGCGGATGATCGGGAAAGGATTGCATTGAGGAGAGGATCCTGGAAAGGGTTTTATATTATAAAATAGAGATTTTAGATATTTTAGCTTATAAAAATTCATTTAAACTTACAAAAGACGAACTTAGATTTAGTTTTTCAAGGTTTTTCTGGAAAATTTTACCTAATTTTCTAATTTTCCTTAGTTTTTTGACTAAAAAGGATGGTTTTTTGGTGTGCTTTGTGTTCTCGTTTAAACGCACGTTTCTGGCGCATTGAATTCTTGATTTTTTGCAGTAAAAGCAAGCTATTGTTGCAAGAAATATGAGGAATTCATTGCACTAGAAAAGGTGGGTTTAGAGTGAGTTTTACAGAGCTCAAAGTACACCACAAAAAGCATCAATACTGTTCAAGATGTACTTTGTGCTCTCGTTTAAACGCACGTTTCTGGCGCACTATATCCTTGATCTTTCTCCAGTAAAAGCAAGCTATTGTTGCAAAGAAAATAAGGAATTCATTGCACTAGGAAAGGTGGGTTTAGAGTGAGTTTTATAGAGCTCAAAGTACACCGCAAAAAGCATCAATACTTTTCAAGATGTGCTTTGTTTTTCCGCGTAAACGCACCTTTCTGGCACACTGAATTCCTCATGTTTCAGTCAAATCAAAGGATTTCTTGAAGAAAAGAAACAGAAAAAAAGCTATCATTCAATTTGTGCACAAGAAAGGATGCGTTTCCCATTTAGAGCACAAAGTTCACCAGATTCAGTATCATTTTTCGATTTTGTATTCAAATTTATTCAAATTTTATTCAAATTTTATGCATTTAAATAAAAATATAATCTTTTATTAACAATACCCGAAATAAATTGAAGGAACACTTTCAAAGAAAAGTTAAGCAAAGAATACCTTTTCAACGCGTACAGGCACTTGACATTGAATCGGAGAAAAAAAGCAATTCCGATATCGTTCCGTTCTCGTTCTTTCCTCGTCTTCTCTTCTAGAAAAATTGAATTTCATTAAGCTAGCTTATATAGCTAAAAAGCTATATAGCTATTGGGTTGGGGAGAATGAGTCGGCGCGAAACTTTAAAGGGACTTTTTGCACACATAAAGCCTTCTTTAAACATACGTTTGGTTTCATCAAAAGGATCCACTATTTCTCTACAAAATCACTTTTGAGAGATTCCACAAAGCTTTTCTTTCGTGGAGTTTATGAACTTCCAAACGCAGCTGGTTAAAATGGCAAAGAGTCCGACTCATCATTTGAACAGTTTCTTTCACATAAACCTTCTTTGGTGTTTATATAAAAAAGATAGAGCACATTGAATTACTTAAGTTGCCAAATTTGCAGGAAGATCCCACCAATGGTTTTTTCTAGATCACAGTTTGTAGTTTTTGTGAAAAAATGGCTTTTTCTTGAGCGGAGGCGCTGTTTGAATTTTCTTTTAAATGTCATTTTGTAGAGAATTAGTTAACCATTCTACTCATATCAAACGCATATTATTTGACGAAGTCGAATAGAAGTTTTAGACATTTTTTTCATTTTCGGCGCCGACTCATTCTCCCCAACCCAATATTTATCCTTTTTATCTTATTGTAATATTCGGTTGTCCAGTTATGAATGCGCGTTTTTGACGATTTTCTAAATTTCTCAAGATATCGAACAGATATCTATGAGTGTTATATATCATTCGAGAGCTGAAGATCTCCTCTACATTTTGATATAAAATCTTTTTGAATTTGCCCATCTTTTGGGCAAATTGACTGCTAGAAGACCGGGTAAAGAGTATCTTCGCGTACTCCTGCGTAGCAGCCCTTTTTAAAATTTCTTTTCTGCATAAAAGCTTTCAATCAAGTGCTATAGGGCTGGAAAATGACTCAAAAATCTGTTAGCACATGTGGTATTTTACGGAAATACGGTATCATTCGAAAGCTGAAGATCTCCTCTACATCTTGATATAAAAACATTTTGAATTCATTCAACTTTTTGGGAAATTGACTGCACAAAGGGAGAGGTCGTTCTTGAAAAAAAAAAATCCATTTCAGCTTAGCTATTCCTCAAGTTTTACGGTGTAAAATAACCGCCCAGAAAAGAAAAGAAAAGTAAAGATGCCCTGAAATTGTTATTAGGTTGTCCGGAAATAAATGAGCGTTTTTAAGTTGAATATTTAAAGTACCATAACTTGATCCAAACAAAACTTTATTAATCGAAATAAGAACCATCACAATTAACACATACTTGCCAACGAGAAACAAGTTTATTTATGCCGGTAGCATAGATGTCCGGGCTTCTGGTGGCGATAAAGTCGGCGAAGGCGTTTTTGGCATCGTCTTGAGTTTTGAAGCATTTCTCCCGGAGAAAGTTGCCGAGGTGCTTGAAAAAGTGGTAGTCGATAGACGAAAGGTCAGGCGAATATGGCGGGTGAGGCAAAGTTTCGTAGCTCAGTTCGTTTAGCGTTTGCAGGGTCGGTAGTGCGACGTGCGGGCGAGCGTTGTCGTGGAGAAGAATTGGACCTTTTCTGTTGACCAATGCGGGCACATTCGCAGCAATTTCTGGTGCATTTCGTCGATTTGTTGGCAGTACTTCTTCGCCGTAATCGTTTCGCCCTGATTCGGAAAGCTGTGATGGATGAGACCGACTGCGGACCACCAAACAGTCACCATAACCTTCTTTTGATGCAAATTTGGCTTTGGAAAGTGTTGTGGAGCCTCTCCGGCGTCCAACCACTGAGCGGAACGTCACCGGTTGTCGTAGAGGATCCACTTTGATCGCACGTTACGATCCGGTCGAGAAATGAGTTGTTTTTGTTGCGCTGAAGAAGAGCAGACGGCACCTAAAAACGACGATTTTTTTGATTTTCGTTCCATTCGTGCGGCACCCATTTATCGAGCTTTTTTGACTTTCCAATCCGTTACAAGTGGTCAGAAATGGTCGTCTTGCCCACGCCAAGCTCCTCCGCAAACTTTCCAATAGTCGTACGTGGATTTGCTTTCACCAGGGTCTTCATTTCGTCGTCATCGAGTTCAACAGGACGGCCAAGGCATTCCTTATCTTCGAGATCCAAATCATCACCTCGGAATTTTCGGAACCAAGTTCGCACTGTTGACTCGCCGACACTGCCTTGGCCCCAAACTTCGTTAATGTTACGAGCCGCTTCAGCTGCATTGTGACCGAGTTTGAACTCATAAAAGAAAATCTGACGAAAGTCAGTTTCGGACATCTAAAACGGCGAAGCTTAAAATTCGCAAAAAATTTCATTTTCAGCAAAATTTAAAAGCAGGGTTAAAGAGAGTGCGAACTCAGCTTTCTAATGGTATATAACATTACAAGGTACAGAGCATACTTTATTGGGAAAAATGTACCCAAATAATAAACGATACAAAACGCTCATTTATTTCCGGACAACCTAATATATTTAAAAAGAAGTTGTATTGATATATCTATTAATCAAACATCAAACGGTTAACTCAATTTGAGCGGAGCCAAAACTTGATCCATCCTTCATCGTCATCTTCCCTTCACCACCAAAAAAGCTATTTAGTTCCCCATTGAGCTTAGGGTTAGGGAGCCGTCTGTCATGACGTGAGTTAAGTTAAGATATAGCCTAGTATTGTGTGTGTCGTTGTATTGTGATTGATATATTTCGTGTATGCGATAAATTCACCACTGGTAGCCCCAGTCGGTATTTTTAAAAGGCGCCCTTCCATTTTTTGGCCACCTCTTCTTCTGTGCAGTCAATTTGAACTGAACCCAAAAGCTGAACAAATTCAAAAACTTTTTATATCAAAATGTAGAGGAGATCTTCAGCTTTCGAATGATATATAACACTCTTATACATCTGTTCGATATCTTGAGAATTTATAAAAGACTATATTCGAGTCTAGGTCCTTGGACCGAATCTATCAGGCCAACTCTAGCTATAGAGCTTGACTTGTCTAAGCTAAGCTGGAATGGTAGAGGAGATCTTCAGCTTTCGAATGATGTATAACACTCATAGACATCTGATACCTTGAGAAATTTAGAAAATAGTAAAAAACGCACACATTCATAACTGGAGAACCCAATAGAAGAAATATTCCTAGTTCTGCTAGTAAAGGGTTAGAGGAGACTAGTTAGTAACTGAGTAATAACTGAGTAATAACTGGGTAATAACCCAAGACTCAATAATGATACAGAGTTTTAGAATTCATCTGCCATTCAACCAGATTCTACTGGTAACACCCTGGCTCCCTGGCTCATCATTTTAGCTTTCAATTCATAACTGGACAACCCAATAGTTGTATTGTAATAGTTTCTTTTAAGAAATCTCTTTTTTTTTAAAGAAAATTTACTTACTTTTGTGCAGCTACATTTAAATAGGCCAATTTCTTCTTGAAATTACTCCGTACTCGAAACCTGAAAGGAAAACTTTTCGTTTTTGACCCATAAAAGAATGCTTTTCTAACTTTATTTCTATTTTTATCCAATCTATTTACTAGATCTAGGAGCTTTCGGTGTAAACAACTCCTCTAATTCCTCAAATTTTGCTGACTCAAAGGTTGCAACGTAAAAAATGGCATATCTTGCCCAATTTCGCTCTGATCTTTTTGATTTTAATATCATTTGGCGCAGAATTTCAGGTTCTATCGATTGAAATGAAAGACGAAAAGCTTAAAGTAAAATTGACTAAGCTCTGGCAGGCTTTGGTAAAATTAGCTAAGCTTTCGTTGCAAACCTATTGACGTTTACACCGAAAACTCCCAGATCTACTATCATATTTTCTCTAATAGTAGTGCATCCCAGCGAGCCGAGTTGATGCCTATTTTACGGCTTTCAAAGCTTTCACAGAAGCTCAACACTCAAATCCCCACTAGATCTCATCGTCAGCTACATTTTCCGATCCCACATCGATAGGTTATGATAAGCGGTTCTCGAGATTTCGAGGAATTTAGACGACGACCAAGGTGCACTACTATTAGAGCACTACTACTATTACTATTAGACTATTAGGTGCACTACTACTATTAGAATACGGTAAGTGATCAAATGGTGTAGTGTTCAAGTTCGTCAACCACTTTACCATTCGGAAAACTACAGTAATTTGGTTTTTTTTAAAGAAAAGTACTCTAATAACTGATATTGTGATTTCTATTCTCATGTAAGCTTTACATTCTAATTCTTATTTCCTTCTTACTTCTTCTTACTTACTCTTTCTCTTTCTTCTTCTTACTTACTCTTCTTCTTACTTACTCTTTCTTTTTGAACGAGCCGAGTTGATGCCTATTTTACGGCTTTCAAAGTTTTCCCAGAAGCTCAACACTCAAATCCCCCACAAGATCTCCTCGTCAGCTACATTTTCCGATCCCACATCGATAGGTTCTGATAAGCGGTTCTCGAGATTTCGAGCAATTTAGACGTCGATCAGGGTGCACTACTATTAGGCTGACGGTATTCTAACCTAACGTATCCCTTAAAACAATTTAAGAACGTTCAGGTTGAATCGGAAGAGTTCTCGGGTGGCGGCAAGGTGATCTCTTACAAAAGCCAATGGACCTTACTCTTCTCCTTACTTACTCTTTCTTTTTTGAACTCACCTTGCAACTGGGTTCATCGCTTGAATTTGGTTCATCGCTTGAATCTCTTGCCAGCCATATGAAACAACGAAGCAGAACACAAGAAATATCAACAATTTCATCAACATTTCCTTTTAAAAGAGAAATGTATTACCTAAAAACGAAAGGAATTAAATAATTAATTTGTAAAAAAATGAAATTATTGGGTTGATGCATAATTATCCGGACTTCTTTTTGCGTGCTTGTATCTTTTTTGTTTTGAAAGCTTTTTGTCTATTTCTTTTTTTTAAATATTCGTTATTCTTTAGTGAACAAAATGCGTGTCGACAATCATATCCATCTTCGCCATATCATGCTCTACCACTTCGAAAAGGGATGGTCTGCCGCAGAGTCGTTTCGCGATCTCAAAGAACTGGAGAAGCCCCAACGGACTACCACGTCAATCGATCGCTCAAAAATTGGCAAACAAATAAGATCTACAACGATTTGGATGACTTGATAGACGATGTTAAAGCGTGGATTGCCTCCAAAGATCGTTTATTCTTCGCTCGTGGAATCGATCGTCTTCCAAGCAAATGGCAATCAGTTATTGATGTAGGCGGTGAATATGCTCCAGAATAATCAATTAAACATATTTTTCTAACTATTTATGTTATTTTTTGTTAAATAAAATCATTTATAAAAGAAGTCCGGATAATTATGCATCAACCCAATAAAAGGAAATTGAAAATTTCAAGAAAAGAAAATCGAAGAATTACGATTAAGATTTAAGAAATTTCGAGTTTTTTGTAAAAATAGCTTCAAAAAAAGGCAAAATCTTCTCTAAATTGTTAAATTTACTTTAATTGCAACAATTTAATGAATTAATTGCAACTATTTAATGAAAAAAAAACGACAAAACAAGGATCTCTAGTGATTTCAGAGAGAGAATTGAAAAATTTCATTGAAATCATTGAAATTTTTGCGATTTTTCGTTAAATTTGAGCACTTTTAAAGGGAAATTCACTAAATTCACTAAAAACTTTCAAAAAATTAAAGAAATTAAAGGAAATTACGAGATTTATCTAATTTATTAGTGAAATAATAGCCTTGCTCAGCTCATCAGCCTTGAAATATTCTATAAAATCCATTAGTGAGAAAAAGATTTGTGTTATTAAACATTTACGCATGAGAAAAGAGAAATAGAAGTATTTTTGGTTGTTTTGCGAGTCGATTCAATTCGATTTGAACAATTTTCTGCTAATTTAAAAGGCGCCCTTCCATTTTTTGGCCACCTCTTCTTCTGTGCAGTCAATTTGAACTGAACCCAAAAGCTGAACAAATTCAAAAACTTTTTATATCAAAATGTAGAGGAGATCTTCAGCTTTCGAATGATATATAACACTCTTATACATCTGTTCGATATCTTGAGAATTTATAAAAGACTATATTCGAGTCTAGGTCCTTGGACCGATTCTATCAGGCCAACTCTAGCTATAGAGCTTGACTTGTCTAAGCTAAGCTGGAATGGTAGAGGAGATCTTCAGCTTTCGAATGATATATAACACTCTTATACATCTGTTCGATATCTTGAGAAATTTAGAAAATAGTAAAAAACGCACACATTCATAACTGGATTTCAGAGATTTGTGTTATTAAACATTTACGCATGAGAAAAGAGAAATAGAAGTATTTTTGGTTGTTTTGCGAGTCGATTCAATTCGATTTGAACAATTTTCTGCTAATTTTGAGGCTTTTTGAAGTTAACGGCTTTGTTGTGGCTTTTAGATGAAACGGAAGGTTGGCGTATGAGAAAGGCTACTTCAGGAGCCCGTAGAGAGCCGAATTCAAAGAGATCAGAAAAAAGGGGGATCGGGATGAATGCATTTAAGAATTTTAAAGCATTTCGCTAAATCGATGATAAGGCAGCTATTGGGTAAACAGAAAGAGAGTGATTCTTTAGAAAAAGTCAATGAAGTAATGCAGTCAAAAAAAAACTTCTTAAACCTAGTTTTTAAAGGAAAAAAATTGAAGCTCAGGGTGATTTCTGAAACTTGGGCTCTAGAATAACAAAAGAACTCTTGAAATTACCAAAGCTAAGGTCAATTTATGAGGAAAGAAAATGAAACTACATCTTTTCTTTTCTTTTTCCCAAAAGAATCCAATAAAATTCTTGACATCTATAAAAGAATTTTTATGAATTTCATTCCAAAAAAGGATCTGGAAAGGCTGGCTTTAGTGGGAGTCATAAAATGGAGTCAATTGTAACGAGTTCTTGCACAAGGTTTGTAGACAAGCAAAGCAATCGGCTAAGAAACGCTTGAGAAAACGAAGGTGGAATTATGACCGCACTAAAGCTAGCTTTTCCATATGAAGCTTAGAGCTTCAATTCGTTCACTTCTGTTGTCTTGTGCTCTCAGTGCACTCAGTGCTCTCATAGGGATCAGTTTATCAAAGAGTAATCTCAAAAGAAATAGAGTCATAAAGTGGTGTCAATTGAAACGAGTTCTTGCACTAGGTTTGTAGACAAGCAAAGCAATCGGCTAAGAAACGCTTGAGAAAACGAAGATGGAAGTTTGCGAGAAACCTTCTGCCTCTATTTCTTGAGATTTCTTTTGAGATTTGATAAACTGGTCCCTATGGGAGCACTGAGTAAAGGTAACAGAAGTGAATGAATTGAAGCTCTAAGCTTCATCTGGAAAAGCTAGCTAGCTTTAGTGGGGTCATAATATGAAGTCAATTGAAACGAATTCTTGCACTAGGTTTGTAGACAAACAAAGCAATCGGCTAAGAAACAGCCGAGAAAACGAAGATGGAATTAGGTTCGGATTGGAATTTTCCAGGTCTTGGTCATTGCCTGCTCTTCACCAAACCCCAACAAATCCAACAACAAATTCAGATCGATTTGCTTGTGCTAGAAAGATTGTGTTTCCATTTCCTGAGCACAAAGTAAACCCTTGAATCGGTACCGAACCAGGGTCAGATCAGGGTTAAAGTAAAGCTAGAACTAATTGTAAGTCCTAATCTGAATCAGAAGAAGATTAAATTGCAAGAAAATTGTTGAAACAACTTGCCATTACTAAACAACTTACTGAATTATTCTAGAAACTTTCCTGAAGTTGAACTAAAGAAATTTCTATTTAAAACTTGAAACTTTCTCTAGTATAAATATTAAAAAGGGGGTTGGTTTTGAACAAAAAAAATTTCCATTTCATTTAATCTTTGTACAAAGGCTAGCTTTAGTTCGGCCATCAATGGAGTCAATTGAAACGATTTCTTGCACTAGGTTTGCAGACAAACAAAGCAATCGGATAAGAAACGGTCGAGAAAAAGGTTGAGAAAAAGGTGGAATTAGGTTAGGATTGGAATTTCCCCATATCTATACCGAACCAGGGTCAGGGTAGGGCTAAAGTAAAGCTAGAACTAATTGTAAGTCCTAACGGAGTCAGGTCAGGGTAGGGCTAAAGGTCAGGGTAGGGCTAAAGTAGTAGGTCAGGGTAGGGCTAAAGTAAAGCTAGAACTAATTGTAAGTCCTAATCCGAGTCAGGTCAGGGTAGGGCTAAAGGTCAGGGTAGGGCTAAAGTAGTAGGTCAGGGTAGGGCTAAAGTAGTAGGTCAGGGTAGGGCTAAAGTAAAGCTAGAACTAATTGTAAGTCCTAATCCGAGTCAGAACAAGACTAAATTGCAAGAAAATTCACGAAAATTATTGAAACAACTTGCCATTGATAAACAAATTCAGAACTAGAACTAGAACTAGAATAATTCAGTTTTCAAGCTTTCAAGAAGTTCAACTGAAGAAATTTCTATTTAAAACTTGAAACTTTCTCTAGTATAAATACCAAAAAGGGGGTTTGTTTTGAATAAAAAAAAATTCTATTTCATTTAATCTTTGTACAAAACATTTCTCAGAAGAAATTCTATATTTAAAAATTTTCTTTTAAAAAGTTAGTTTATTTACTTGATTTTAGAATAAATCTTGGATTTTCTCAAAAAAAAACATAAATCCCTCGTCATTTTTAATATTTGTCATTGAAAAATTGGTAAAATTGAGTTTTTGGATAAGAATTTGGATAAGAATGAGACATTTTAAGCCATTTTAAGCCCCCGTACATGGTGATTTTTAAAACTTTTAACCAGAAATCAAATGTTTTAAGGAAAAATGAAAAATGACTCAAGTCTAGACGAGAGATTTGTTTATTGATGAGAGATTGATGGATTGATGATTGATGGATGGAGTTGATGAGTTCTGATGCGGGCAGATTAATGAGTTCTGATGGGGAAAGCCACGGGATCAAGTGAACGAGAATGGAAACTTTGGAAGATCTTCAACTTTCGAGGGTCCTCGGAAATTTCCCGACGATATCGAGTTGATGGATGATGGATGGAGTTGATGAGTTCTGATGCGGGCAGATTAATGAGTTCTGGTGGGGAAAGCCACGGGATCAAGTGAACGAGAATGGAAACTTTGGAAGATCTTCAACTTTCAAGAGTCCTCGGAAATTTCCCGACGATATCGAGTCGGGTAAATGAACCGATTTGCTCTTGACTTTTGGATGAGTGGTGCATAAGTTTGTTCCCGTTTACCGCTTGTTTTGGTGCCTTGCGGGTGCATAGGTTTGTTCAAAATCAGGGTAAGAATTGATTCCGAATACAATCGACTCTTAATACAGGCATCGACCCAATACAAGAATTTTGGAATTCTAAAACACACCCCTGGCTTCTGCTGCTGTAATTGGCCATTCAGGGCAGCTACGCAAGAAATTTGGGACATGTTTTAGACTCGTTGAATCCAGAGTTGACTGTAGGCATAACACCGTCCGAAAACCGGAAAAGCTTTCAAGGATTCTTTTGGCTACGATATGGAGTTGGGTAAATGAACCGAGTTGGGTAAATGAACCGAGTTGGGTAAAGGAATCGAGTTGGGGGAATGAATCGAGTTGGGTAAAGGAATCGAGTTGGGGTAAATGAACCGAGTTGGGTAAAGGAACCGAGTTGGGTAAATGAACCGAGTTTTTGGGTACATATGAACCGAGTTGGGGAAATGAACCGAGTTGGGGGAATGAATCGAGTTGGGTAAAGGAATCGAGTTGGGGTAAATGAACCGAGTTGGGTAAAGGAACCGAGTTGGGTAAATGAACCGAGTTGGGGAA